AAAAAAAAAAAAAAAAAAAAAAAAAAAAATCAATGGACCAGGGATCAGTTTCTGCTGTCTCTTCCAAGGTGTCAGAGGCCTGCAGACAGGCATGGATCCGACACGGCGTGAGACCCCAGCTCTCGCCGGGTGGGGTCTGACCCTTCCCACTCCATCCCGACTTCCTTTCACATTCTCTCAAGCTCACCTGGAAACTGGCATTATGGAGGGAAATGCACACACTGGGCTACAGGACAGTACAGGTAGAACAAATTTGCCTTGGGGAGACACGGCCTCCTCCTACAGAGGCAATCACTGGGGTTTGGAGATGTCAGTTACAAACAGAATTTTTTTTAAAAAGTACCAGTTTAAATGTAAACTATAAAACACTATCACTATAAAACGTAGCCAGAAATATGCTTAAGTATCCATAGTCAATTACTTCGTTTACTTGTTTAAAGTGAGACTCTCTCGCTATCTCAGAAGGCTAACAACATTTTACAGTAGCTAAGAACACGTATGCCGCACGTGTGTGTGTGCCCTGGAACATCACATTTGATTATAACATGCAGAGAATCACCTCTTCCTCAGTTTAATTTCTCTGAAGATGAACTATTGTCAGAATTCACTTAAGCAACGACAACCAGGGTGTGCATTAATCATTTTCAGCCCACATAGAATTCAGTCTTTTAAATCTCAAGATCAAGCTGGCTACATGATTTCAAAAAAGGCTAAAACCAGGATGAATGCCCACGTTTGAGGTAATTATTGCCATTTTAGGTCACAGTTTGTGTAAGATAATGTATCTAAAACCTTCTAAAAATAATCCTTGGTTGTTCTGTCAGAATTCCAGAACACCTAGCGACACCAACCAGGATCTCAGATTCTAACGAGCTGGGTTTGCTTCCAATGGAGTCAACGCTCTAAGGGGGTTACCTAAGAATTTAGGCAAATAAGCCCGGAGCCAGTCAACAAAGTTTTTAAAAGAAAAAATAAGCAATAAACAAGAAACCCAACCCAAACAACTGAGTAGATACTTCATAGCACATGATAGTTAATAAAAAATCTAGTCCTACAGCATTTCTCAAGTCTTGTTGCCTTTCAACCAAAATAAAAATACATCTGCATCACTACTAATCTCATATCAGGGCCAGAGAGCCCTCTTCCTTAATTTCTGAAAGCTGGTTCATTTTTCTGTTTATACAATTGTTGCTTTCCGTTTCTTGAAGAAGGGTTATCTGTCTTGAAAGAAAATTTAACTGTATTCCTCTTTCTAAAAGCCATCTTGTTTTCTTTTTTTTTTCCTCTTTTGTTTTTTACAGAAAGAAAAAAGTTCCCAAACATCAGACCTACACACGGTATTTACAAATTTGGTGTGAACCCTGCCTCTGGTTCCGTCCAGAGCTGAAGAGTGGATCTGTTACAGAGACCAGAGCCATTGTGATATTTATCAAGTGCAGTAAAAAATAGTATTTTGAAAAAAATATATACCTTTAGTATTGCCTTTCTAGAGTTAAGTATAAGCAAGAAAATTATTTTTTTTTAAAAGAAGAGAAGAATACTTTTTCCCCTTCACTCTCCTAAGAGTGTTATAGCAGCATTACTAAAGCTAGTTGGTTTGCTGGAAAGAAATCTAAAAGGAATTCTAGGAATCAAAGGAAACTCCCCAGAGATTTTTCTTTAAAGTCAAACTAATTCTGCCCCTCTGCCTGCATCTGATTCAGGCTCTTTTTGCACAGAGTGACATTCCTTAAAGCCTTTCTTTTCAACAGACACACTGCAGACAGCTGAGGCTGGTGGCTGCGTGCTGAGTTCTGGAGCCTGGCAGACTCAGGTGCAAGCCCTACACATCAGATGTCTCTCCTAAAAAGGGACTGATATTGCTGCCTGACAGGGTTAATGTGAAGATGAAGTAAGACAACCAGTGAGTGATTCTGGGCAGCGTTTGGCACACAGGAAATGGGAGTGTTGCTAAATGGGTCATCAGATGGGGCCACTTACTGCTATGGAAAAAAGTGAAACAAAATCACACCTCAGTAAAGTCCTGATTAACAAAAAATGACTAGAAACTTGGGGATTCTGGACCACCACTGTATTTTTTAAAACATGCCACACACAATCAGCTGGCTCATCTGCCAAGGGTGTGAATGTGTGTGTGGTTGTGATGGCACAATGAGATGAACTTCTAAGTGGCTTGGCATGGGGTCTGTGATACTGAAAGCATTCAGCAAGTGCTGTCCTTATTTAAGAGATATTGCTAGTTTGAATAAAGAGGCAGTGCATGTAATGTCTGGTAGGGCTCTGAGATGAGGGGCTCTTGAAGGCTTGTGGGAGTCGAGCTGGGGGCTCAGGAGGCCCTGTGTGCTGGGGTTCTGTGACAGGGCCACTTCTCTGTAAACTCTCATGAAGTCTGAAGGGAAGGACCAGCCTGGAGCTCTCTCCTGATCTTCCAGAAGCTGTCCGGAAGATTTGAAAAAGCTCTGGTGTGCCAAAAGCCTTCAGGAGGTTTCTTCTGCATTTAAATCCCATTTGCCAGGTTCCAGTCTCCAATGGCCAGACGATTTGACTAAGTCCAATGTGGAGATGAGAAAGAGTCCTGAGGCACGAGTGGTGGCACACCGTCACCTGAGCCAGTCTGTTTGCTGCAGTCATGTGTGACGGTGTGGGACCTCTGTCTTCCACATAGCAGCAGCATGTAGGGTCACTCCTCCTCCTCTCCAAGATGAGTGTTTTAAAATAAATGTAACAAAAAAATTTTTAAAAAAGGGCAGAAAGGAAAGAGAAAGACAAATGGAACTGTGTCACTGATGATGTCATTACTGCCCAGAAAGGAGCAAGAGGGATGTCATGTTCTCATCTCTAAAGGTGTCTTTGAGAAGGTTTCTTTGGCTATAGAAAGGAACAGTTTTGCTTCCCTTTCCAATTTGGTGAGGACATCACTGACCTGCTCAATTTTGAGGTTTTCCCTTTAAAAATCTGTCCAATACCAGATAGAAGACACAAATGGGAAAAGAAGCCTGTGTGTCCCAGGGCTGGAATGTGTTGTGGCAAACAGCTCCTGCTAGCCAGGCCGGGCCTGCCAATAAACCTTTGGCTCTCTGTAAGAGCTTTCTCTGCTAGTTGAGGGCACTGAGCTATTTTCTTCTGTTTTCTGTCCTAGTGGTTCTTTGGCAGGCCAGCTGGAGCAGCTGTCCCCTATTTTACTTGCCCTTGGCCAGACAATGGTGGGGACCTGTGTCCTTCTAGCAACTGTGAACAACAGCAACACTTCCTGAAGCCTCCTCGTCTCCACGCTCTGGTTTCCAAGAACGTTTGCACTCCTCACTCAACACACACTCACGTGACCCAATTCCTCCTCCTCGAGCTTGTTTCAAAATGAGTGTCTGCAACTCCTGAGACTGAGTCAAGGGACATCATCCCATCAGGTGCGCCCAGCTCCCCTTTCCAACCTTCTGTCCGACACAGTGGCATTTGGGCAGGCTGGGTGCTCCAGGATGGGAGCACAGCTCAGCTAGCTTCCACACCCCACAGAGACCCAGCCACCAAGGAGGCATGACAAGTCCATGCAGCCCAGGAGGCAAACGGAAATGGCCGTTCGCTCCAGCCTCCTTCCTCCTTTGAATTTGCCGACCACTCGCTGTGCCCCACAGTGCTAACTGGCATTGACACTGGACTCACCCATCATAGCCTGCTCACCCCTTTCCCTTAGAAATGTCCCAAACTAAGCAGAGACATGGGTGCCAATGCCCAGACATGTCAGTGAGAACCAGCACACAGAAGCAAGTTGACTTCAGCTTCATAAGGCTCCAACCAGATGCCTCTCCCCGACCTGTCCTTGCCAACTTCTCCTTGCTCAGGACCATTTTCTTCCCTGAGGAAGGATAGAACCCATCCAAGACTAGAGATGTGCTGGGGGACTTGGGGTCTGAATAGGGAGGCAGTTGTCTCTCCACTGAGAGCTTGGTCCAGGGAAGGCAGCTTCGGCGAGGGGACCCAGTGCTGAGCACCTGGTGGGGATCTGGGCAAGGGTGTGAATGAGCACACTGGGATCTTGTGTGGCTTCTGACATGACAGCTCTGCTCAGGATTAGAAGAGGGTGTGAAGCGAGGGCTGGGGTGGGCACAAACATCTGGCAAATGGCCACTGCCCAACAACTCATTTCTGCTCACAGAAGCTGCCCATGTCAAATCTTTCTTCACATAGGCTGATAGTCTCTGGGCTTGGTAGGCAGCCCATAGACATCCATCACCCACAGTGTGGGTACCAAGGGACCATCAGAACCTGAGGGGCTGGCCACATGGCCCTGCTGTGGCTATTTGCCAATGAAGAGGGGGTGTGGCATGCATAATCTGGGCGGCTGCTGGACCTTGCAGAAGGCTCTCCGCTTCCTCCTTACTCCGACACCCCTTTCTGGCTCAGTGAACTGCATGCTGGATGTGTTTCTATGGGGAGTGGGGAGGGTACATGGAGGGGAGTGGGGCTGAAACATCCTGGGGAGGTACTGGTGCCCATCACTCTTACTCCAGCTTCCCGTGACCAGTGGCTTCGAGGAGGGGCACAAGCCATACTCTGGGAAAAGGGGAATGTTTTGCAAAGGGGTTGGGTCAGCTCTGGGAAGAGAAGGGCTTTTGTGGCTCATGTATCAGATGCAAGGAAAGCTGAGCGTGATCATCAGATTTCAGATGCACAGGAGAGCATTGGGAGAGGTGCTGTGTAAGGATTCAATAGTCTAAGGGGTGCACCAGCAGCCCCAAACCCACAAGCTGCCTCCTCAGGCTCTAAGTCCCTGGAAATCTAGGGACATACACTGATAGTGATATTGCCCAGACCCCAGGCTGGACTGCAGAGAAAGGTCATGACTTTGTTTTATGGTGAGTCTTTCATGATGGCCATTTGTAGAATAGAGATGACAGGAATAATTTTCCTAAATCCTGGGTCTTTCCTCTTTGTTTGACAAAATTGGACATCTGTGTGTCCCTCCAGTCTACTCAGACATAATATTGTAAGTTCAAATATTAAAGGGAAACACAAAGATGCTTGGAATAAGTGCATTTAAAACCCTGACTAAAATAGCAACAGGATGAAGATAGTAATAATTACAATGGCAATGACAAGAATAAAGTAATCAGCATGATAATATTAACATTCTGAGCAGCACGGAACTTTTATTCCTGTCTGGGAGGAGAAAAGGAAAGAAAATTTCAGGAGAACGAGTTAAGAAGCTTCCACTTAGAGACAAAAGGAAATGAGAACTTTTAGGTCATCTTTCCCCTAAGAGAACAGATCTATAGAGGCTGGAACTGCACTGTTCTGCAGGCCAGCGTGCTGCCCAGGATGGCAAAGTGAGGCTGCTGAGCCGATGCTGCGACTCAGTGAGATGCCAGGGAACACTGCTGCCACCTGGCTGCCCAAAGGTCTGTGGCAGACAAGTCTTCCAGGCTGGCGTGGCTTAGGGAGGGCTCCCTCATTCTCTCTGAACCACCCAGCTTCCCAGTCTCGGGCCAGGCACCGCCACACCTCCAGCTGATGCTGGTACTGATCATGGTGAGGAGAGTGACTCCCTGCTGCAGGATGTCACTACTCTGTCTCTGTGTCCCTGCGGTCCCACCACAGTGTGCCCAGCTTTTTGCAGGTCGTGCTGTCCTTCCTTTTGGCCCAAGGCCTGCCCTAAGCCACTTCCAGTTTTTGGGGACTTGTTTCTTTATAAAGTAAAGATTTATTGTTGGGGTGGGGAAGTTTCCAGAGTTCTTTCACAGCTAAGAGCTAAGTCATAGCTTCGCTAATGGAGGCAATTGACATCGCTGCGAAAACCCTTTCACAGTAGATCACTCATGGGGAGGAGGTGAAGGAAGGGAGGAAGAGGACAGGCGGCTGGTTGGAAGATCTCTGTGCACTGGGAACTTGACTGAGAGGTGGGTTAGGACTCCGTGTCAGGGCCAATCAGAGCCATCCTTTGAAGCCCATCCCTGCCCACAGAGCTTCTCTAGTGCCCCCCAGCTTCAGAGTTGTCCACACTTGAGTGGCAGGAACTACTCCCCACCTGCCCCACTGCCTGCAGTGTTCAAAGCCTGAGAAAACTTTCAGAGGTGTCAGAAGAATGAAGTGGGCACAGGGCTGACTTGGCGATTTCACTATCTGTGAGCATTTTCCCAAGTGCAGTGGAGAAGCCCTGGTCACCCTTACCAGCTTCCCTCCAGTCTTCTGCCTACAAGACCCTTCAAATACCAAAGCCTAAACTGTCTTGGGCAGATCTGGGCAACGTGAGGGAGGAATTCAACAGGAACAGATCGGTGGTTCTCTTCAGAAAAGGCCCCTCTCTGCAGTGCTGGTGGGAGAAAAAGTGTGGCATGGTTCTGAGAATACTAGGCTTCTTATGGAAGGGAGGGACAGGTGGCCCTGGGGTCAGACACCTGGCCTCCAAGCCTCTCCACAGATGGCCATAGGAAGCTGTGCTGGGCCAGAAGCCACTGCCTGGCAAAGCCAATATCCCTAAACTTTAGGTCCCACACATGGCAGAGCTGGGGAATGGGTGGGCGAGGGTGAAGGGTGGGGCATCTCTGCCCCAAAGGAAACTCAACAAAAACCATCTCTGTCATCAGAGATGCTCATTGTCATCTGGCTCCCACATAACTCTCAAGATCCTTGAATTCTCACGGTCCTGCCGGCTTCCCTGACATCCTGCTTGCAAAGAGCGCAAGAAAGACAACAGCATGAAACAAGGAGAAAAAACCAAACCAAAAACCAAAGAACTGAAAATCCAACAAAAAAAGGAAAGACTCGAGTAAAATGTTACCACAGCGCAACAGAAGAGTGAGGCAGCCGCTGACAAGTGCAGCCGCTGCTGTGAACCAGTGGAAGTAAACCCTCACACGCGTCTGTCTGTCGTTCGGTAAGGCACTAGGAGGGAATGGTGTAAAATCAAGACTGAGGGCTGTGACGGCGGTGCCAAGGGACACAGGGGAGGCGGCACCCGCGCTCACACCCACACGTGCTCGCTCGCTTGCTCACCTGGACCACCACATTGGTTACATGCCTATGCTATCCCATTTTTTTGTGCAATTACATAGGAATAGTCTATTGGTATCACTGGAGTTGAACACAAGGTAGAAAACAAGGGCGCGAGTGCTACATTCTACTAGGGTGTCATTGACGACCACTAGCCCTACGCTATGTGACTAGGGGTTGATTCGAAGAGAAAATCTTCGGGGGCGGGGACTAAAGTTTGCAACACACATTATTAATGACATCTGAGGAATAACATTGCTTAGGGATTTCTCCAGAGTGCTCGGAAAGAGAAAACCAGCCCCCCTCCCAGGGGGTTCCCCATTAGTTTGGCTGTTCCCCGCTACTCCTGACAAATGCACCAGAATTGGGTCCCCCAGACCAAACCCCGTGCATCAGCCTGATTTCAACCATGGCCTGATACCCTGGAATGGTGTTGGCCCTTTAGAGTTCTGGAAAAATCCCTAATTCTCCTATTAAATTCATTAAAAATCTATTGGACTCCCCATCAGGTGTCCCTGACAGCAAATTCTTCAATGTCACTTGCTGCCATATGAAAATAATCTTTGAAAAGTTCATAGATAAAGTTCTTCAAAAACTGGGGCCCCTCGCTCCTGGGATCTTCCTGTGGCTCTCTTCTCCTCCTTTCCAGTTTGGTGTGGAATGGGTTCATGAGCTGTGTTTTTCTGTTACTGATGTTTTAATTTTTTTTCCTTTTTCTTTAAAATAAAAAGCATAGATTTTTTTCCCCCCTCCTCAATCCCTTCCTTTCAAAACGTTCTCTTCTCTGTTCTAAGTCCTCCCACTTCCTGGTTCAAGTTTCTCTGAGCCCTGTACCTGCCCTTCCCACCCACCCCATTTGCATTGCTTGTGTGTGGCACCTTCAGTGTGAGGCAGCTCCTGGGGTGGCTGGTGCCTCCTCCTCCCTCCCTGCCCCCTCCAGTGTTTATATGTAAGGGTACTGGTTGACCTTGGCGGGGCTCAGTGGGTATCCAGTGTAGACGGTGGAGGCTGGCGAGGCGCTGATGTAGGTCTGGTGGGCAAACTGGGCTGGATACTGACTTGGGTGGATGGTGGGTGAGGGCAGCACCCGAGGGCCCATGCTCACGGGGACCTGGTGGACGATGCTGGCCGGGTAGGCAGTGTGCTGCACAGTGTGGCGCGCCGAGCCTTGGGAGGCCACCAGGTGAGCCACGGTGCCGGTGGAGCCCAGAGCGGTGGGCGCTGTGTAGGTGTAGAGGTGCGGCTGTGTGGGGAGGTGGGCAGCGGCGGCGGCCAGGTGGGGGTGGACGGTGCCATGGCTGGGGCTGTTGTGCGGGAAGGAATATGGGGCCTGGGCCATGGTGGGAGTGATGTAGGCCTGCTGCCGTCGGTGGCTCCCAGTGCGGTCTGCGGCCATGTGCTGTTGAGCCTGCAAAGGACAAACAGTGAAAGGTGCTGTGTTAGGGGCTGGGCCCTCGAGGGAGGATGGAGAGGAAGAAGAGATGCTAGACAAAGATACTTCCCCCTCCTGTGCAGACACTAGGAAACATTTTTCCTTGGTCTGCTGTCTCCTTCCCTGCAGCAGGGCAGTGATGGCCAGGGCAAATGGGCAGGACATCCATCTACCCTTTGCAGGGACCTCCTATTTGTAAGCTCTGGGACCATGGTGCCCACTTCCCCATGCATGTTCTAAGGGGAAAGAAGCTGCCCAGAGTCACTCTGCTCTGGGACCTTCACTTTTTTTTTTGGAGACAGGGTCTCACTCGGTAGTTCAAGCTGCCTTGAACTCACTGTGTATCCCCAGGGTGGCCTTGAGTTCAGTGATCCTCTTGCCTTAGCCTCCCACATGGTGGGATCACAGGTGTGCGTTACCAGATCTGGCATTCTGGGACATTCCTGATGCTGCCTGGTGGTGGGCAAGGGCCTGCACTGTGACCCTTGGTACAGGTGAAGAACAGGGGCTGAGGCAATCTGTGTGGGTCAGGCTTACCTGGCTGAGGTTGAGGGGCTGCTGCTGCTGGAAATGGGCACCTGGCCGCTGCTGCCGGTAGGCAATGGCTCCTGATGAGCTCCCTGAAGAGTGACCGCTGGTGGAAGTCACATTGCTGGAGGACTTGGACTTGTAGGAGGAGGAGTGGTGACTGGTGTTGACTGTGGTGGGAGGAAGGACAGATGACAGATCAGTGACCACTCCTATGTTCCCCTCCAGGAACAGTGGCCTTCTGGGACATGTGCCCAAGACTGCCCAGCATAAGTCAGCCCGGCCTCTGGACCCAGTCGGTATCTTGTCTACTCTCTATATTGGCAGCTGGGTTCTACTCGCTCCCTCAGTTGGGGATGGGGTGGGGTGTAGGGGCTGCAAATGCAGGACCAGGAGCAAAGGTAAAGGGAACAGGTATAGGGGAGGCAAGGAAAGCCAGAGGCCCAGTCGGCCCTCATGTGGGTCTTCCCAGGTGGTGCCACTAGTGGCATCTGGGAGATGGCCACTGCCAGGTCCCCTCACGGATGGCTATGAGGACCAGATGCAACTGTGCCTGCAGTGGCATCTACTGAGCAACCAGGACAAGCAGCAGAAGCTAAGTTGGCCCTGTGGGAGATACTAGGCCGGGCCTTGCCCTGGGCAGGATGAGGCTAATTTGCCCAGGAGACAGCTCTGGGAGGTGCACGTGGCCAAACATGACACCTGTCTCTTCCATACTGTTGACAAGGAGGCCATGCAGACTCAGTGAATGCTGGCCAGTGGGCGGCCACACCCTAAGATAAATGAGGCACTGGCCTAGCAGCTCCAGGTGGGAATCTTCGTCCTAACAAGTTTCAGGATTTGACACTGCTAGCTGGGGAGCCACACCCTGGGCAGCCAGGGTTTGAGAAACGAGGCAGGCTGTACTTCAGGCCAGGTGCTCGCCCAGGTGCCTGGCAAACAGCAGCCAAGGAGTCTTTAAAGAGGTGGCTGGCTCTTTTTCTTCAGTACTGGGGTTGAGTCCAGGGCCTTCACACTGGGCTACATCCTCAGTCATTTTTTATTTTGAGACAGGGTCTTTCTAAATTACTAAGCTGCCCAGGCTGGACTAGAACTTGTGATCCTCCTGCCTCAGCCCCCAGAAGTCAGGGATCACAGGTGTGAACCATCACATGCAGCAAGCTGGCAGCCTTAATCCAACAAGAAATATTTTCTGAGCTCCTGCTGTGTGCCAGGCACTGGGAGTACGTACCACCTGGGACAGATCAGGTAAGTGGGAATAAAGAGGATCATCACAGATAGTTGAGAGGCTGAGGCAGCAGGATTAAGCAGGTGAAGGTGCTGGTGGGTGGCATGAGCAGGACCAGGAGGGCAGGGAACTAGTACAGAGTGATCTTCCCTCACCTGGATCTGGGGGAGCCTGCCGTGCTGGGAGTGGTTGGTGCTCATGTGGGCTTTTGGCAGAGGCCAGGGCACAGCCAGGCAGGCAGGACCATTACTGTCTTGCCAGTCCCCTGAGCTTCCTATATTCCAGTTCTTCCATGGGAGGGCGTGGCCTAACACTTCAAGGCTCTCAATAAATACTTGAGCAGAACCCCAAAGAAATGCACTGAGCAGCATGGGCCAGAGCCCCTTCATTCAACAAAAGCACAGCACCCCTACAGCAAGAGCAACATGCAGATGCACATGCACGAGTTGCTTTAGGTGAAGGGCTGCGCAGGGGCCTAGGCAAGGAGCCCAGGAACGAAAAGGTTCCAGATGCCTTCTGCACTTTGGCTCAGATGCCAGCAGGAACAGAGGAAAGACTTGCAGACTTGTGTTGTGTAGTTTAGAAACCACATCACAGCAAGGATGGCTTCCACTCCTTACAGGAAGGGTAAAGGAGAAAACATCTCTGGAGGCAGGACAGGCAGGAGGCTCCCACAAGCAAGGCAGGTCAGCCAGGACAGTACCAGCCCAGGGCTTGGCTGGGGGCCGGCTGGCTTCCTGGGGACAACTGTCCCTGCTGAGTGAGGCAGGTGCAGAGGCAAAGGCCAAACTGATTCTAATCTAAGAATAAGACCAAGGAAGCCTTTGACCGAGGGACGAGGAAAAGGCCGCGTGTTAAGCAAAAGGCAATGGGTTCCCTCATTTCCATTGGCCCACGTTTACCTGAGCACTTCCTGTGTTCTGTCCCCTGGTCAGTAATTTGTTTTTCTCCATTAGGTTTCTGAAATATGACTAAAATACAGATCTATGTCTTATGCTGTTTGGAAGTAAGAATTCAGGATATATATATATATTGGGGTATATATATATATATATATATTGGGGTCTCTGAAGCTTGGGCAAAAATAAAAGCCTATCATCACCCTCTCAGTGAGGTATTCCATGGCAGCTGGCATGAAACTTGATTCTGGTCATTTATGGGGTAACATTAGTACACAAGATAAGGCCCTTGATTGAACTGGGTTGGGTCAATTCTATGACAAATCCCAAAGCAATGAAATCAAATCAAAGATGAAAAGCCTGAGGCTGGGGCAGGCAACAAAAGATGCTAATTGTTGATAAAGACAGGTTCCAGGAGAAGGACAACGGGAATTGGAAATCCAGAGACAGGGTAATAACATGAGTTGAAGGCAGAGGGTTCCTTCTCCCTGCTGCTCCACTGGCGAGGGAGGTAGTTACCAGAGGCCACGAATCTGACTATGCACTAGCATCCCGCATTCCTACCTACACACTGTGTGAGAGTTCCTCCACTGGGTGCTGGAGCATACTTTTCTGCTCTGCAGCAGTGAAGGGAGCTTGCTCCCTGGGCCCAGCCATGGATCAATCACCTCTTTGCTTCCACCTTTGGGGCATTTCATGACCACTCTGTGAGAGGAAGGAATATGGAGCTCGAAGGGGTGACAGCCTGAAGCTGCAAAGGATATAGTTAGACAGAGCCTGACATTCCACCAGCTACTGTCATTGCATGCCAGGAGGTTGGGACTGGGTCAGAGGTTGGGATCGGTAGTGATTCCTCCCACAGGCTGGACATGGCTGATGCTGAGGTTGGCCTCCTGTGTGGATCCGAGGACTAGAAAGGAGCACCCTGGACACCTCTGGATATGCCTGGCCCAGCCATCCTGGAAGAGCTGCTCTTTCATTGCCTTCCTGTGCTGAGTAGGGAGAGTGCTCAGAGCATAGAAGAACTTGGTCATAGGGCTCTGGGTCAACTAGCCACACTTTCCACACCTGCATTTTTTTCACCTGGGGAACCAGGAGGGTGTGAAGGCAGCTCCCAAGAGCAGGTGTCTGGCCTTCAGCAGCCCAGCCCTGGCCTGCCTGAAACTTGACTGCTGAACTTTCCCTCAGACTTGCATCCTTCTAATGAATTCTTGAGCCAGTCTGGTTTGTTCTCCTGCCTTCCAGAAGAACCTCAGCTCCCCCTAGAGGACTTGGGAGCCACAGGAGGGACAGGTCTTTGCAAAGACAGGTATCTACCTTGACTAACCTCAGTGGGATTGGGAAGCCTCTGAGCTCCTGGATGTGGGGGCTCTAGGCAGGTGGCTTAAATGATGTACCTTGGCCTGGATGGGCTTCTGAGCAGCAGCAAGCTGGGGAGAGAACTTCCCTGGTTTCCCAAGCTAGGCTAACTGTGAGGAACATTGAGGGCTGGCGGAAGGTGCAGGTACAGCCCCAGTGTGGAGCCATCCTGCCCACTCTCCCACCCACACAGCACAGTGGCATTTTCGTCTCCCAAGTCCTGAGTAAGCTGTGTCTAAAGCCCCAGTCTTTTTGCACACAGTATCTGGAGAGCTGCACAATGATCTAGTATACAACACAACAGAAATCAGGTCTTGGGGAAAAAAAAGGGTGCTGGTTTAAAACAAAGTAGGGGATGTCTAAGCCACTGCTCTATGTAGTCTTGTGTCCTGCAGTCAATGACTTGGTGCGTCTCACAGGAGACCCCTTGGTGACTGTAACAGGATGCTATTTCCTGGGAGGGTTTTGGATACAGATGTCCCCATGGCCTTGAGGAAGCCAGCTTTGCTTGTGTTTCCTCAGAGGTGCTGGGCTAGGGCTCCAGCCTGGCTCCCTGGCTTCAGCTTCCTAGAAGCTGGCAGTCAGTACAGCGGGGGACCTGTTAGCCAGATACATGCCCTGGCACTGTTGTGCGCCCATTTCCAGTGCAGGTAAGGATTTCTCCTTGCAGGATCAGCTGACCCCAGGGGAGAAACAGGGTGGGATCCTGCATGGAGTGGCTTGGCTGTCCACACCTACTTCTCAACCAGGGCACCGTGTACCCTAGGCAGGACTACCTGCCTACTGTGTTGTGAGCACTGACTCTGAAGTCCAGGCTGCTCAGAGCCCATATGGTCTCCACAGACTCTGAGGCCAGGCCAGGCTGTGGACATGAAGCAGATTATGCAGGGTGCTGGGCTGGCTGGGTTTAATGAACATTTTTCCTAGGAAAGGGAGCAGGCTACTTACAGAGTCAGGGCAAGAGCTCTGACAGGAGGGCCACCTGGGCCACCTTGGGTTACAATGGGGATGCTGAAGGAGAAAGAAGCTTGAAGCTGCTTGTTTCCCTTTCAAGCAGGGTCTCTTGGTGCCAAAGCAGTGCCATCACAGGTGTTGTCCTAGGCCAGAAAAGTCCCCACAAATGCTGTTCTGAGTCTTACTTTGCACCCTGGGTGGCAGCAGTGGAACAGCCTATCCCTCCCAGGCTTGACGTATGCTGACCACTCAGGAAGATCCCATTTCCTGAGGCAACTTCCAGTGACAGACTTGGGGGGTCTCTTCTGAGGAACATAGCTTCTCACATCTAGACAAATCTTAGCATTACGTGCCTTCCCCTCTAAATAGTGCCATCGTCAAGGGGCTGCTTGGCTGCAGTTGTAACAGAATGTGGCAGAAAAGCAGAACATGTAGATATGTTTTGGGTTAATCTCCAAATTTGCTCACTGTGAGTGAGAAACACTGAATAGATGCTACTAAATAAATCCAAGGTGTGCTGGGCATGGTGCACACCTGCAACTTCAGCATTTTAGAGGCCGAGGCAGGAGGATCATGAGATGGAAACCATCCTGGGATAGTGAGTTCAAGACTGACCTGAACTACATAGTGAGACCCTCTCTCAAATAAAAAAAGAATTCTACCTTGGTTACTTGCACAAAGTCTTATATAAGAATTACCTGCAATAATTAGGCACTTTCTATTTTTCTGGTCCTCACATTTCTAGTAGCAGAAAATAAGAAAAGCAGTCTTGAGAGAGATGGTCCTCCATTACCTGGCCCCAGGCTGTCACATTCCACCAGTACTTCACTGGCCTGGGTTTTCAGTGGGGGCACGATGATGGTTCGGGGGTTGCCATGATTCTCCAGCCCCCCTTTGGTGTCAAAGGTGTTGGTAGTGGTGTGCCCAGTGCGCTGCTGCACAGAGTAAGGGCTGGTGTTGCTGGAGGAGTCGGAGTACGGAGAGTCGTGGACTGTGACACAGCTGATGACATTTTTCCTTTGCTTGGAGACAGTGCTGTGAAGGTAGAGGGAGAAGCCAGACTGGTGAGAAGGCCATTTTGGAGAACTTGTGTGTGAAAAGCTCCCTGCTTCTGCTGAGCTATGTGGCAACCTGCCTTGGACCACTGGAAGGGGACATAGGTGCATGGTTAGAGGACCTTGGTTAGAAGAACACTGATGCTAGAAGGGAAGTGGTTATAAGCTTAGGCAGGGGCTGTGTGGATAGGGAAAGCTTAGGAAGAAAGGAGTGGGATGTGAACGAATCAGGATGCAGCTGGAGGGAAGGGGCAACAAGAGAGGCTCTGACACTCTCTGCCAGCTCTTTGCCTTGTGTGCAGGCCACCAGGGACCTCTGGGAATCCCAGCCCTCCTGTGCCTTGCCTGGTACTTGGGCCTAGAACAGCACCACTTCAGGGCCTGGCAGAAAGGTCCTGCATGCTGATGCCACAAAGACCTTCAGCTGCTACCAGGAATTCATCCAGGGTGGCTCTTGACCTGAACCTTCTTTTCAGATATTTATGTTAGTGTGGTTATTTTGGGAATCAATCCTGTCTGCCTCCCAGCTGCTGGGATGACAGATGTAGACTTTTTGCTTATTGTACAAGGTTTTAAAAATGGATACCCTTCTATTTTTGTATATTGGTCATTTACTTTTAAGAAATAACAACTGCCTAAGCAAGCTGGTCAGTTTCCTACTCATTCGCCAAGGGCAGAAGCTGGCACAGAGCCTATAGACTCCCCAGGACCTTGTGAGGGGTCGTGGCTCACATGATGGAGCCACATCAGGGCTTCTGAGAGATGTCTAACACCTAAGGGGCAGAAGAGAAAGGGGAAGCCTGGCAGAAGGATATGTGGAAGAACAGAGCAAGGCTATGAGAGACTGGAGGTGCTGGTGGGATGAAGGCCACGGGAGGCCCGGCCCTGCTTCTGATACCCAGCACCACTGCCATGTGGGCATCCTCTGGTATACCATCCTCTGGTTCAGGCAGAAGGTTCCTCACTGGGCCTGAGTAAGAGCACATGAATAGCCAGATGTCTAACTCTAGCCTGGGATGGTGACAGGGTCTCAGGTGGCTATTCAATCTCTCATGGTCAGTAACATGTGCGTAATAACAGTACCTATGTCACAGACTGTTCTGATAACTAAGTGAGAAAAACAAGTTAAGTGCTTTGACTAGTGCATGACACACAGCACCGTTAAGTATGCCATAAATGTTAGCTACTATGATTCAAATTCAATACTCTAATTCAAAAATGCAAAATTCCAAGTACTCAAAAATCCAAAACTTTTTTTTTTTGGTACCAAGGATCGAATTTTGATCCTTGTGCTTGCGAGGCAGGTGGTGGAACCACTGAGCTAAGTCCCTGGCCCCCAAAACTTTTTGATTGCTGACATAATGTCATAAATGGAAAATTCTACACCTGACCTCATAAACAGGTCACAATCAAAACGTAAGCACCCTAAAAAATACTGCATAAAGTTTCCTTCAGACCATGTGCATATGATGTGTACGAAACATAAGTAAATTTCACACTTAGACTTGTTTCCCATCCTCAAGGTAGCTTATTATGGGCATATAAACATTCTAAAATCTGAAAAAACCCTGTAAAATCCAAAACACTTCTGGCCCCAAGCATTCTGGATAAAGAATGCTCAATCTGTACCATAACCAACTGTGCTACCTTATTGAACATGTAAAAACAGGTTTGCAGAAAAGCTATCTAGGCAGGAGAATTTTATCTGGGTAAGGACTTGCTGCAAAAGTTTCTTCTTTTGTACTCTGTGCATAAGCCAGAAGATGCTATGAAAGATAATTACAAATCACCAAGTATCCCAGAGAGCTACACTACTGGTAGGTGCTGCAGGGAATACCTGCACAGAGAAATACAATACACATCTCTGCCCTTGAGAAGATTAAAATCTCAGTGGGAGACTGTATAACAACATGACAAGTTAAATAGTGAAAGCTTTAAAATAACCAGTTAAAAAGAATAATAGATGTCACAAAGCATTCCATGATTAGCTGTCAAATGAGTCATACAGATAATTGTTAAGAACCCAAAGAAGGTGAAGAATGAACTGCTTGCATATATTTACAGCTCATGTTAACTTAGATGAAATAAATGTTAATTAATGAAGCCCCACATCTCTCACTTATAAATGCAAAAAAGCCCATATGCTTGCTTCTCAAAAAGCTGAGACACAGAGCTACTATATGACCCAGCAATTCCATTCCTAGGGATGAAATCAGAGACTCAAGCAGGTACTTTCTGGTATATCAATGTTCACAGCAGCATTAACCACAACAGTCGAAAGGTGGAAACAGTCTAAGCAGCCACCCACACAGGAATGCGTGAATAATGTGGTGGCTACTATCTAGTCTAATACCTGGCACAATACAGAAGGGCCCAGAAACCATCAATGGAAATAAGCCAGAAACGAATATGGTATGAAATATCTTCTAGGTGAATTCATACAGACAGAATATAGGCTGGAGGGCAGAGGGAAAAGGGGGGTTACTGGTAATGGATATAGAATTTTTAATGGTTGGGGTGATAGAAAAGTTTTAGAAATCAATAGTAGGACTATACAACATTATGAATATAATTAATGTCAACTGAATTGTACACTTAAAATGGTTAAAATGGCAAACTTTATGTCATATATTTTACCATAATCTCAAAAATGAATATACAAAATGCCACTGAATGATGGGGAAATTATACAGCACATGAATGATACCTCAATTTTAAAAAGCCCACAGGCTCGTTCAGAAACAGAAAACAAATGGGATTTAGTCTCAGGTGCTTGGAGCTGCACAGCTGCAGCACAACTGGCTCTAGATACCTGGCTGGGGGTGGCTCAGAGAGGGCACAGGAGTTAGAAAGTGGGGCTCTAGGCAAGGTCCCTGAGTCTAAAAGGGATCTGACAACAGTAAGACATGTGGGAAGCTGAACATAAGGAGGAAGGGGAGTTGCCTTAAAAAAGACAAGGTCCAGGGACACTGCAGCTGTTTCCTGTGGTGAGCAGGTACAGGGAAAGGACCAGCTATGAGCACAGCTGTGTGATGGGCCACTGCTGAAGGGGAGCCTTCCTAACCCTCTCACGGGGCCATGGCTCCATGCAGCTCCTGGTCCCAGGTCATAGTGCACAGCGGCTCCTCAGCCTTCTCAAGAACATGCATCCTGTTGCAGGTACACGTTCTGAGGGTGGTGCTCTAGTCCTAGCTCTGTGGTCCTTTTACTGTGTGACCCTGGACAGCAGGCTGGGTAACCTGTAACACCCAGCCAGTAACAAATAACCAACCTGAAACCTATTAGAACAGAGCGATTACTTGCAGCAGTAATGGATCCATTGTGAGGGTCCCTTAGCAGTTTTAAGATAGTTAAAATAGCATTTGATCCACTACTCATTTGGAAAGAAAACAGATGTTTTTAGTAAGTGTATCTCACAGGTAAACCTAGGCCTGGCCAATTCCTACAGCTCATACTTCATTTGGTTCCGAGTAGTTAAAAAAATGAGCAAGTTAAATGAGCAAAACATACAACACCAATTTTGATCAAAATGTAACCTGATCTCAAATACAAATTGGGCTCATTTGGAATCCTTGCCTCAAATTCAGAAATTGTGGAGAAACCAGCTTAGATGGAAATTTCTGAAGGTACAATGGGGTTGCTTCGTGAATCAAGTCAGTACACTGTCACTGAAGAATAGCTTTACAGTTTGGTCTAGATGACTAGTGGGAATTTAATGCCAGTTGCTCAATGGAAACCCAAGTGATAATGAGTCCATCCACCCATCAGAGGCTGAAGAGTCCTGAAGGTCAGTTTCATGTCAGTGTCTTGTTATGCACTAAGATGTTGAGGACCTTCATAAACTGTTCATAGCTGTTCATAGCTTGTAGCTGAGAATACCCTCTGCTGAACGAGCAAATATGAACAACAGGACTTAATGTTACTTACCCAACTCTTTGGATTTGCATATGACTGGTGTGGGAAAGGTGAATTATTTTTGATGGCTCTGCTTCTTATCTCTTCTACTGGTAGAAATCTCTGTGCTCTACACACTATATGCAAATTAGAGAACAGTAGAAAGCTGCTAAATGAGTCACTTTAGAAAGGAGCACATAGTTGAGATTGCTACTGCAATTTTTAAAGCTCATATGTTGAGACTATTGGGATTCATCTATTATTGTATCTTATTATTATTGATAGCTTATCAATCCTGTTATGAGTTGGTTAATGGAAGCAAAAGAGACAGTGATAGGAGTGGAATGAGAAATATTTGCAAAAATGGTCTTGACAGACATCACTTCTGAATACAGAGCTAAGCTGCAAGAGCTCATGACTGTATTGTGTTGTCATGGCAATAGATGATTTTCATCATTTTAAGATGATGAAGCAAGGAGCTAAGAAGGAAAGAAATCAGCCCCAATGGAGAAAACAATGCCAGAGGATCAGATACAAACCCATATCCCGCTTCCCTGCAGGGTCCTGTCTGGAATGTGTTTCTGATTTCTACTGCTAACCCCAATCAATTTCACCCTTCAAGACCAAGGTCAAACCTCATCTCCTCCAATAAACTTTCCATGACCTCTTTTACTCCTGACTCCGTGGTGAAAAATGACACATACATGAAAACTACTACTCTTCTCTTACCGTGAGACTGGCTACCAAGTATGGGTGATGTTTATTGGAGTGTTCAAAGTGCTGCATACATATTATTGCCTTCAGTCCTTACATCAGAACTATGCAGTAAAATAATTAATTACTTTCACTTTTAAAGATAACAAACTGCAGACATGGAAAGCTCAGGCTATGGCCAGCAACACAGGTTGAGTAAGGAGCAGAGTCAGGACTGAGCCCAGCACCCTCATGCTTAGCTACAATGCTACCCTGCCTTGTCCCTCCCAGGTGAGGCACCCGGCAAATACTGCATCCCCCAGACCAGAAACATGTGGTGGATTACTTTTAACCTGCTCTTCATTTGAAGAGAGGGACTAGAAGTCAATGTCG